AAGTGTTTGAGCATCTCTGGAAAGATGAAAGACACAATTTTGCTACTTAATTCAATCTAAATGCCAACAGTACAAACCCATAATGACTAATGGCAGGGCCTTAAAAATGACTGTTGGAAATTGGGTAGGTGGGAGGAAAGTAGAGAGAGAGCACCCTCTATCCCACACAAAATTTGAGTTTAGTCTCCATTCTCATTACTCTTGGTCATATAAAAATGGTGCTTCATTTCCAATTGATATTTCAATTATATTTTTATTTCTGAAAGCAATGTGAAAAGTCTATGGCAGAGACAAAAATGGGTTCACGATGGACTATACCATGTTTTAACCCTCAAAAAAAAAAAGCGTACTCTAAGCAGTATTGAATGTGGAATGAGGAAAATGAATAAAATGAATAAAACAATGATCAAGCCTAACACATAATTCTGAAAATGTACGAATTGGGGGGCTCAGAAATATGAGTGTATAAAAATCAAAATTATCTTTTAAATGTCTGAGAAAGTCAAGAGACATAAAATTAACTAGGCATTTAGAGTGGCCAAATTTTTTACCTCATTTAACTTTTTAAAATTTGCGTTACAGATCAACTACTGTTTTCCAATTTTAATTTATTTCTATATTATACCATTTGGAAGTTTATGTAGAGGAAAATATAAACTGTTTTCTACCCTTTGTTCATTTTTACTGTGACCAAAGTTTACTCTGTCAAACAAGAAAATAAACATGCTTATTCTATTGTGAGATCACTTAATTACAATTAATGTTTTTGAAAGGCATTACACCCAGGGCCAGATCAAATCTATAGATTGCTCATGGTGTAACTTGAAGGGGGCTCCAAAACTATCTCCCACATGGCTTGCTGGGTGCCAACCGTTTTCCCCACCTCACCAGAAATCACACAACTTCATTCAGTCCACTTCTTATATCATACATGCATTATTTACTACTCAAGTGTACATATGTTTTGCAGATTGCAAGGAATGCCTAGAATTAATAACAATGCCTAGAATTAATGTGTGCACATTAACACATATTATCAAATTCATTTGCTGTCTCACTAATAGACCCAAAGTTCTCTTTCTGATTTGGAGAGTAGAATATATAGGAAAAATTGGATATAAAGAGAAAATCACTGATTGTTGGATCTGAATAAAAATTTTAGTTAAGAGCATTAACTGCCTTATAGATGATTAGAAGCAGATCCAGAAGAAGTAAGTGACCTACTCAATCCCAATGGCAAAATTGGGATTGAAGGGCAAGTGGGATGTTTCTTATATTTGAGTTGTTAAACACTATATATGGTTACATGATACATAGCAAAGCCAAACTGGACTTGCAAAGGTAATTCAGGAGGTGACTGAGAAGAATAAGTAGACTATGGCATGAACTCAAAGGCCAAGATAAACACTGACAATAGAACTAAAGAAACTGTTAAATACCACTCCAAGAAAAAATCTGAAGACAACTGCATGATGTAGACAAGGGCAAGTTCTTGCATAGTCAATTTATGCCCTTAATGTGATGATGGTGTTAAGCTTAATACTTGGTTTTTACCTGAATTATAAATTCTTTGCAGTAGGCTTCAATAATTTTAACATTTTCATTATCAAATATTTTATCATTACTCAACTTCCTATCATGAACAAGTAGTTTAAAATATCTCTTTGGGTCAGGTTATGATCTCAGGGCTGTGAGATTGAGCCCTACATCAGGCTCCATGCATAGCATGGATCCTGCTTAAAATTCTATCTTTCCCTCTCCCTGTGCCCCTCTCTCTATAATAAATAATAAAATAAAATATCTAATCCCATCAGGTGTATCTTATTGAAATAATAAATAACCAATTTCCCCAATCTTATCAAAGAATCAACACAAAATCATAATACTGATAAGAATTAATGAAGAACAAAGAAAAAATATTAGTGATCTTTTTCATGAATAAATGTTTCATAAAAAGAATTCATAAAAAGAATTCTTAAAATATTTTTAATGAGATCATTTCCATTACTGCTTTCCAGAGACCCATGGATGTAAGTACCCAGATCTGAAATTATGAAAATGGTGGGACTCATTCCAACGATTAGATTCAAGTTTCATGAAATTATGTTGATTCTTACAATGTATTCTTTTTCCTAAATTAATAAGAGAATAAAACATCATTCATCATCTGGCAGTAAGGTGGGTTGGAATGTAGGATAAGGCTGATTATAAAGCTTATTAATCCACAGGCCCTCGTTACGGAATTGTGTTTATTACGCTCAAGCATAGGAAGCAAATAAAGCTTTTGTAAAACATAAGTGCATTTCACTGCTTATCTACTTAAATTTTCCTTTTAGTTATTTTAGTTATTTTTAGTTAGTTCTGTACTACAGAGTCTGTGACAACTTATTTTTATCATTAGCTGTTCTAACGTATACCCAGGTAGCATTATGACATTGGGATGTTATATTATTGTACTGAAAATTACCTTCTAAACTTTACAATGGAAGTTAATCCAAAAATCAGTTATAACTGCATTGTTTCACACAGGTTAAAATTCAAAGAAAATATTTGAGGTAATAATAATTAGGAACTAGTACAGCATCCAAAATGGTATTTTCATGGAAAATCCAATACAAATCCTGATTAAAACCTAACCAAGCAAAACGCTGCAGATTACCTGGATTCCAATTAAATGTGACAAATGAATACTTGACAAGTTTCAATTCCAATTCTATTTATGTCAGAATGATCCATTAATATTGAAGATGAAATTACCAGAATTCAAGCAATACAATTGTACTTTATGGCTAGATAGTAGTCTGAAAACTTGGACCCAACAAAACTTATTCAAATGTCAATTGCTACATTTGGATCACCCAAAGTGAATCACATCCCCTTCTGTCATTACCTATAGATTAGGGCTAACATGAATCACAGCTAGCAGATGACAAATGATTATATAAAACTGAATTTCAAGTGTCAGTCACATACAAAATCAGAAAAATCAGTTCTATTATAATAGTCTTTACTGTTGACAAGACTGAAAACATGATTATCAAAAATAACTAAAAGCCTTATTTGGGAAATGTTTCTCAGTAAACTTTCTAATTTCCTAATGAGCTCACCTATTAAGTTTATCATGTATGTTTTCCTAAAAAGTAACCAATATGCATTTGACATATATAATTATGTTTATAACTCATCATTTCTGACTTATTTTAAAAGTGCTGAATCCCCTCTTACTCAAAAAAAAAACATTAAAATGTGATTATAATGCCAATGATATAAAGTCCTTTCTGTTAATATAGCTGACAACCAAAAATAAAGCCTTAATTATACTTTATATTGTTTATTGTGAGATAAATACTTTTTAAAAACACAAATAAAATCATATTATATCATCAAAAGGTATAGGAATGTCCTTAAATTAGATCAATCTTGCCTTCCTAGGGGGGTGTATGTGTATGTGTGTGTATGTGTGTGTGTGTGTGTGTGTGTGTGTGTGTGTAATATTATTATACTATTTTAACTTTTACTTTGGGGCAAAGAATTTCAAACATATTTGCTTTAGAAATATATTCATGACCAATGCAATTCATTCCAAATTTTTAAATAGATACTAAAAAACTTAATTCTTAAAAACCACATCAAACTCCCATCCACATATGCATACACCACCATACACACAAATAAGCATGCCTTTATAGCCATAGGGCAAAATGCCATTTGAACTCTGGATTATTAATTAATAGGGATTTCAATCATCAGACCCTGATATCACATCCTCTCACCCAGATAACAATGTGGAAAAATAATTATTTAACGTGATTTAGTTTAGCCATAATTTCACTTCAGGTCATTTATAATATATTACTCTCTAAGGTTGGATTTTAATATTCATAGGTAAACTTCAAGAAAAAAAATCAGACTTTTCCTGCATTAATATGCTCTATTTGCATACCATCACTAAAGAAACTGTATATAACAGAACGGTAGAATGTCTTATTTCATTTAAGGGACAGGACAGTGAAAGACAAATCCATTTCGAGTTTTCACTAGAGATAAAATGTGTGCAATTCTCTTTCCTATACAACTGAGTCTCTTTTTATACTTGAGATAATAATAATAAAATTAGTATGAACTTTACCATTCCATTATTTCACACAAATCTACTCCTCAGGCATTTCCTTATAACCTGAAATCCAAAAAACACATCATTTAATTGTTTAGGGGATCATAAACAAATGTGAAAAGATTTATAAATACTGTTTGCAGTCTAACTTTATAACCTAAAAGGAAGTGTACAGGAGGCCAATTGTTGTGGTCCTCATGAGAATCATTTCACAACAGGATAAGAACATAAGGCTAAAATTGGCTTTCTTCTCTTCCCCCTGCACAAAAATGAGGGAAAAAAAATCACAACATATACTTAAATGAGAGGGGAGTTATAATGGTATTTACAATATATTTTTGGAGAGTAAGATAACACTGTTCTCCTCGTTTGACTCCATTTCAGCTATACTCGAAAGGAGAAGTTCGAAATGTTTTAATAAATACCTAGGAAAAGAAAGAGCTGGGTGTGCTTACTGCCATTCCCTTTCACTAAGGCTGGACAATCGCAGTGGAAGAAATAGTTGCATGACAAAAATGAACAGAAGAAACCAATAACACAAGACCTTTCTCAGTTGCTGTTGTTTAGGTATTATGAATTCATTTAGGGTTTTGTTGTTGTTGTTTTGTTTTGTTTTTCATAGCAGGTACTACTCTGATTTATTGGGCAATGTGTTTATTTCTGATCAGGCTGTTTTAAAATGATGGTGCAAGTTTGGTGAATTTTATCTCTACGGTTATGTTCCTTTAGTTGGCATTTCTGTCCTTTAGCAACTATTTATTTATTTATTTTAGATGGAATTGTTTTAGTGTCAGCTGTTTTACTTGGGTTTTAGACGGACCCTCGCGAGTCTACTCCTGATGGCTGCTAGCGTGATTCTGTGTGTGGATGCTGTGTTTGCCCCTACCATTTTCCATATGCTCTGCCTCACCAACACTGCCATCCGGCGTGGTCCTCTCATAGTTGTCCTCTGGGAGTGGAAGGGCACCCAGCCTTGGCCCTGATGAGCTCTTACTGCTTGGTGTCTCTGACTCCTCCAGCCCGCTGTCATAGCAACTCTGCAGTGACCCCTGATGTGGGTCCTGAGGCTGACTCACAACAGAAAACGTCACTCTACGAAATGGCTGCAAAAGAAAAGATTCTGAATGTCACTAAAATATAAGACTGTAAACGATCTTATCAAAAAAACACATCAATTACATACAGTATCAAGGACTACTGACGACTAATACAATACCAAATGCTTAGAGGATGCTGAAAGCGAGGCAGTTAACTGCATTATCTGTGGCAAGGCCTGGAACTGTGATTTCAGCATGGAAAAAACCCAAAAATTCCCCCTCTGAGACAGAGATAAGAAAACAGCAATTTCCACTCAAACACCCATTGAAGCCAATGTTAGTACCACATATTCAACCATTTTCTATCCTGTAGTCTTCGCTTCAAATAGACTCTCTAAAACAAGTGTCACTGATTTCAGGAGGCAGTAAATATGGATGTCATCTTTGTTAAGAATTCATTTTTTAAAGACTTGATCTTTAAAAAGTTTGTCTGTATGCGATAATGGTGTTCAAATGAATGTCCTTACAGTTGACTTAAGCTATTAAAGGTACAACTGATAAATAGGAATGTAGATGCAGAGCTAGGAAACAGGAATATATTTCTTACTTTATTCATATGAAAAATATTACCCCTTGACCTTGAAATTGAAAGGGTGGTATTAAAATAACAGATAAAAGTTTCTTTCACCAGGGAGTAGAAAATAAACCAAAAAGCATACTTGTATGCATTTACTATGACTGTTAATATTCAAAAACAAAAAGTTATATAACGTACTGTCTTTAAGTTCTATCTTCAAACTGTTGCCTATTCTTAACCAGTTGGGTTTCACAAATTGCTGTGATACTGAAGTTGGCTGCACTGAAGATTTACTATGTATGGAATTTACAGATTATTGCAGCTACAGAATAAATTAAATAAATTTAAAACTTTAGACTCACTAAGGGAACCAATGTCATGCATTGATCGTGCTACATACGTAGTATTTGGGGGAAAAATACAAAAAGATTCCGCAATATGTGTCTGAGATTTTTCTTGGTGATAATTATATCCATTAAAAACACTTGGATGATTCGAAAATGCCATATGTATTTTTTAAATCTATAACTCAGATTGGTTCTTATTAATATGAGGCATAAAACTAATGTTGCCAGAAAATAGTGAGAAAGCTAAAATAGTGCATTTTTATAACTTGAATACTAATGGTACAAATTACTAGTCATAACTGGGACCAGTCTGTTTCTTAAAGTGTTAAGGATAATCTACACAGGTAGGCTATTAAAGGGAAAGCTAAGAAGATTTATGGAATCTCCCCCAAATTTATAAACTGGTGTTGCTAGAGAAAAATACATGCTTCTGCAAATCTTCCTTTTATTTTGTTTCAGAAGACTGGTCAGGGATAATGTCCACTTTTGGGATTTCTAACTCAGTACCTTACCCTCCATGTACTTATTTGGCATGTACAGTCTTTATAAAATCCTATCACTTATTCTAGTTCAAAATCAAACTTCTAAAACCACTGAATCATCGTAAAAGGAAAATATTTAAAGCATATTCTCTTCTTTATAATGTTTCACTGAATTGGAGGTGCAAATAATATACACATCATGGTCCCAAATTTACTGGCGATAAATTCTAGAAACATTACGGTTATTTGACTTATAATTCTCACATTTCTTTACAATAGTACGATGTTTCATACATAGATAAGGAAGTATAGAAATCAGTTTGTGTTTACTATGCTTTATCTTACGTGCATATATTTTTAATTTTTTTCCTATTTATCACTCCCAGCATATTATCTGGATTTCTTCAGTCTCACCTCAGAAACAAGGCTGTGATAGTTTTCCTAAAACCACATTGTTCTGCCCAAAGAAGATACTCAGTAAATACCATTGAACAATGAGCTTTAAATAACAATGCTGAATCTAGGAAAGAACTCCAATGGTCATTCAGACATATCACTTCAAGACATAGCAATGGGTTAATATATATATGAACATATTCTTTATATATACATATACAAAGAAAGGGACAGAAAGCTGGGTCACATGCTTTCCTTGATTCTACTTCAATGATTCTCAAATCTTTTAGAATCAGTCTTCATTAACCCAAGAGGAAAGAGCAAAAGGAAGACAGAAATACATAATTTGTACTAATAGATTGACAAAGGAAAGTATATAAGAAATTATGAGAAATGTTCTGATATAAAAATAGAAAAGAGGGTGATATTTAGGTGAAAGTAGTAAACTTAGAAACTGTAGTCAAATGCTGGTTCCACCAGAAGTTGTCATAGGACAGCACAGAGGTGATTCATCCATTGGAGGGTCATCGTCTTTAATCTTAGTCTCTAAAATCTGGAGAATACTTCTATGAGATAACAGTAAAGAATGTAAAAGATCAATTTGTCAATTTAGGGGGAAATGGAACAAGTGGGGACAGACTACTATTTTTTTTCAGACTACTAATTTTTAAAGCGTGACATAAGAGAGAAGTAGGATTGCAGTTAAAAGAAAGACTTGCATAAAGAGTTCTATTTATTTATGCTTATTTGTATCTTTCTTCATTATTACTGAAAACATCTGCTTTAAGACAAATATTTGAAGACACAAGCAAAAAGCCTCATAACATAAGGTGCACTGGGAATGAATGAAATCAGAGAAGATAAGTAAGAATTAAGAGAGAAATTAAAAATAAAATTATAAAGGTAAGGTAAATAGTAAAACGTTGAGTAATTGCATGCATGGTGTGTGTGTGTGTGTGTGTGTGTGTAATGAGAAAAAAATGGTTTGTTAGAAATAATAGAAAAAGGAAAGGATTTTATTCCAAACCACCCTCTAGATTTACTCTCGGTTGACCTCAGAGAAGTTAGCTGACCTTTGGTTCTTATGCCGTAGGCTCAAGGTCTGTAAAATGGAGCTAATAATACTTGCCCCTCACTAACTTAAAGTCTCTGAGAAATAATGAGATAGTTTATAAAAAGAGCCTTAAGCTCCCTCAAAGACATATACTATAAAAGGTATCATACCTCAGGCCACAGCTATATAACTAGAGCGATACGTCCCATTATGTTTTTTTTTTTCTTATGTTTGTGGTTTTTGTTGTCATCATTGTTGTTTTTAATATAGAGCTGGCTCAGTAATTCACAAAGTTTCTAAATGGAATTTTTTAAATTCGTATGAAATTTCAGACCTAAATCTGTTAATGCGGTGCTTTGATAGTTCTACATGCAAGTTATTTGTAAAGCAAATATGTGCATACAGTGACGTCAATTTTTCAAAAAGCATTTGAATCTAATCATCTGTTGGGCATGACTATCTCTACAGTCACTTATTTTGGAATGTCATTTATCAACAGTGTTTTGTCCCCATTATGAAACAGAGGAGAGTTTCACTTGGAGACACACCCCACTATAGGGACTTCTCAGATATTTTAGAGGTTGTTACAAATATATTCAAAGGTAGCTTCAAATAATATACAATTCCTGGGGCATTAAATGTATCTTCATTGTCATCCTAATCTCCAGCGTACAGAAGTACATTCGAATTGGCTTCTGTATGTTGACAAATTGAACACCAATAAAAAATAAATTTATTTTTTTAAAAAGTCCAATAAATAAATAAATAAATAAATAAATAAATAAATAAATGAATTCCTACAGACTTAGGGATGCCTGGGTGGCTCAGCGGTTGAGCACCTGCAGAGCGTGATCCTGGAGTCCTGGGATCGAGTCTCATATCGGGCTTCCCTCATGGAGCCTGCTTCTCCCTCTGCCTGTGTCTCTGCCTCTCTCTGTGTGTCTCTCATGAATAAATAAATAAAATATTAAAAAAAAAAGTCCTACAGGGATCCCTGGGTGGCGCAGCGGTTTGGCGCCTGCCTTTGGCCCAGGGCGTGATCCTGGAGACCCGGGATCGAATCCCACGTCGGGCTCCCGGTGCATGGAGCCTGCTTCTCCCTCTGCCTATGTCTCTGCCTCTCTCTCTAGCTCTGTCTCTGTGTGACTATCGTAAATAAATAAAAATTAAAAAAAAAAAGTCCTACAGACTTAGAATAAGCACTCTCCATTCTTGTATAATTGTATTCATCTTATTTTCTGAAAATTTGGAGGTCACATGGGAAATAGGCAGAAGTGTTGATGGGGAGTCTTCTATCTTCTATTTGTCTGCTGAGGAGAGCCCAAGATGGGTGCCCCTTTTCTTCTCTCCCCTATTCATTGGAAATGCTCCTGAGCTTCTGTTTTAAGAGATGGATGAGTGCAGTGAACATTTCTATATGAAATTAATCTCACAGACTGGAAAAGACGAACACAGCAAATAAGTATTTAAGTTGGGTGCTGTGGAGCACACAATGCAGCATATTCAATCAATGCATTTGCTCACTAAGATTTTTGATACTTTTTTTCCCCGGAACATGTGAACAGAGGCAAAAACTGATAGATCAGTACATTTAGGATTAGGAGAAAGATAGCCTGCTGGATGAGGAAGGGAGCTAGACTATATCTTAGTTATAGAATAAGGCTTATTATCTAATGACATTATGAGTAAAGGATTCACGAAGGGAAAATGTGGTGAGGGTTTGGTTCACTATTCTTTTTTATAAAATTGCATCTCTTTAATTGATAGTGCAAATTACCAAACAGTAAACTTAAATCTAGGCAGTCTAACAGGTTTACAGGTCACACAAGATGCTATCACACTTTCTATTTCAAATATGAACTACCACCAGATTTCATCCTGCTCGTATTCAGAGGGTTCCAAGGAGGTCAAGTCAATACATGTCACATTCATAAGAGAGAGGACTGAAGCAATTTTCTAAAAGAAAAAAAAATTATCTAGAAAGCATATGTCAAATTTTACCATAAGTATAATTGCCTCATTTTTATTTTATCTTGCAGGATCATTATTTTCTGTTTAATTTTAAAGACCTATAAAATCACATCTTTTTGAAAGTATTGACATAAGAACATGCACTACTTATAACCTGAAACTTGGAGAAAATTAATTTTGAAACTAATGAATATGCCATTCTGTTTTCAGAATATAATCATTGCCAAATATATATGATA